CAGTCATATTGTTGCTGTTAAGTACCGTGGAGTCGGTTCCGACTCATAGTGACCCTGCACAGGGATGCTGAGGCTGTAAATCTTTAGGGAACAGAACGCCTCATCTTTCTCCAGTGGAACCGCTGGTAGTTTCAAACTGCTGACCTTGAGGTTGGCAGCCCAACTCGTAACCACTACGCTACCAGAGCTCCTTACAACAGTCGTATAGTCATATAATATTTCCTAAAAATTCTCAGTGCTGATATTCAAACCTGTTATCGTTCATTTGTACACTACAGTGAATTTGTTTTTCTCTCTTTTCTTAGTAAGAAAAGCAAATGTAAAGATTGAGAAGGCTGGCAAAGCTGAAGACAAACTTTATCTACTTAAGAACATTGTTTAATACTGATTTCTCATTTAAATATTAAAAACATGACTTAGTATATGACTATTATAACTTTCCTTAAGTATATATTTCTCTATTAGAATTATAAAATTTTTAGTATCCATGTAAAATGGTTTGGATAAAGACAAGAAAATATATAAAACAAAAATCCACTTCACTGTTATCAGTTGGTATTAGAAATATCAGAGTACATTGATTATTTTGTTCTTTTTCTCTCACAGAAAAAGCTGTCATTGCTCAGCCAACATTTGTTTTTGAAAAGAGGGAACAAACTTTTAAGGTAAGGTCACACTGCCTTTGCTTCATTGGTTTGTTTTTACTTCAACAAAGTATTTCAAGAAGTTAACTATATGTATCTGTTAGTTGTTGTTGTTGTTATGTGCTGTGGAGTCGGTTCCGACACATAACAAACCTGTGCAGGGTTTCCGAGGCTGTAAATCTTTACGGGAGCAGAAAGCCTCATCTTTCTCCCGCAGAACAGCTGGTAGTTTCGAACTGCTGATGCTGAGGTTAGCAGCCCAATTCGTTATCACTACGCTACCAGTTAGGTGATGTCAATATGGTTCCCACTCATAGTTACCCGATGTACTCAGAACAAAACTCTGCTTGATCCTGAACCATCCTCAGAATTTTTATGTTGAAGCTCATTGTTGCTGTCACTGTATTAATCCATCTCATCAGGAATCTTCCTCTTTTTGTTGACCCTCCACTTTACCAAGCATAAAGTCCTTCTCCAGGGACTGATCCTTCCTGACAACATGTCCAAAATATAAGAAACAAAGTTTTTCCATTGACACTTCCAAGAGCCATCAGGCTGTACTTCTTCCAAAATAGATTTGTTAGTTTTTCTGGTAATTCATGATATTCTTTGCCAAAACCATAATTCACATGAGTTATTTTCCAGTCTCCCTTATTCACTGTTCAGCTTTCATATGTATATGAGTTGATTGAAAATACTATGGCTTGGGTCAGGTGCACCGTAGAACTCATTAATACCTTGTTATTGTTGTTGTTAAGTGCTATCAAATTGTTTCTAACCCATAACAACCCTGTATAGGGTTTCTGAGGAGCATCTGGTAGGTTTGAACCGCCGACCTTGTGGTTCAAAACGACCTTGCAGTTGAGTGCATATCCTACAGTGCCGTACCAGGACTCCACCTTAATGCCTCAATGAGGTTTTTTTCAGGAGGTTTACCTAATGTAACACATCATTTGACTTATTGACTGATGCTTACATGAGTGCTGATTGTGCATCCAAATAAAATGAAATCTTTGACAATTTCAATCTTTTCTCTATTTATCATGATGTTATTTATTGGTCCATTTGTGAAGATTCTCATTTTCTTTACATTGAGGTACAATCCATACTAAAGGCTATCATCTTTGATCATCATCAGTAAGTACTTTAAGTCTCCTTGGCTACCAGCAACAAAGGCTGCGTCATCTGCATAATGTAGGTTGTTAATGTCTTCCTCCAATCTTCATGCCACATTCATCTTCATACAATCCAGTCTCTCAGATTAATTGCTCAGCATACAGATGCCACATTCATCTTCATACAATCCAGTCTCTCAGATTAATTGCTCAGCATACAGATGGAATGAATACAGTGGAAGGATACAACGCTGATTCACAGCTTTCTTAATTTTAAACTTTTTAGTATCCCCTTGGTCTGTTCAATAACTTCCTCTTGGTATCTATATATATTCCTCATAAGCATAATTAACTTTTCTGAAATCCCATTATTTGCAATGTTATCCATTGTTTGTTATAACAGTTGAATACCTTTGTATATTCAATAAAATACAAGTAAACATCTTTCTAGTAGTCTCTGCTTCCAACCAAGATTCATCTGGTATCTGCAACAATATCCCTCATCCCTTTTCTGAATCTGATTTAAATTTCTAGCAGCTCCCTTTCAAAGTACTGTTGTAACCATTTTTTAAATTATCTTCTGCAAAATTTTACTTGTATGTGATATTAATGATGTTATTCCATGTCTACATTTCATTGGTTCACCTTTCTTTGGAATGGGCACAAACATTGATCTCTTTGAATCAGTGGGCCATGGAGCTGTCTTCCAAAATTATTGGCATAGAGGAGTGAGTGCTTCCAGCAGGGCATCTGTTTGTTGAAACATTTCAATTTGTATTCCTTCAATTCTTGGAGCCTTGTTTTTCACTAATGCCTTCAGAGAAGCTTGGATATCTTCTTTCAATACCATTGGTTCTTGATCATATTACTTCTGGAAAAAGTTGAACATCAACCAATTGTTTTGGGTACAGTAACTCTTTATTCCTTTCATCTTCTTTTGATACTTTCTGAATAATTCGATATTTTGTCCATAGAATCCTTCAATATTACAAGTTGAGGCTTGAATGTTTTCTTCAGTCCTTTCAGCTTGAGAAATGCTGAGCATGTTTTTCCCTTTGGGTTTTCTAGTTCCAGATCTTTGCACATTTCATTATAATACTTGACTTGTCTTCTCAAGCTGTCCTGGGAAATCTTCTGTTCAGTTCCTTTATTTCCTCATTTCTTCCATTTGCTTTAGCTTTTCTGCACTCAAGAGCAAGTTTCATTTTAGTCTGACATGAGAAAGCTGAAAATAAAGAGGAAGGATCAGTAGTTACAACGTATGATAGAAACAAATAAGACATCTATTTTGATCTATTCTTTCCTTCCTGTCTTTTTAACGACCTTTTGCTTTCTTTACATATGATGTTCTTGTCTTCGATAATCAGTGTCTAATGCACCAAATCTAGTCTTGGCATGGTCTCTACATTCTGATAGGTTATACTCATATAATGGTTCCTGTGGATTTTTTTTCTCTTTCTTCAGCTTCAGCCCGAACTTGCATATGAGCAATTGATGGTCTCTTTCATAGTCTGCTCCTGGCCTTGTTTTGGTTGATGCTGCTGAATTTCTCCATCGTCTCTTTTCACAGATGTAGTCAATTTGATTCCTGTGTGCTCCATCTGCTGAGGTTCACATTTATAGTTGTGGTTTAGGTTTTTGAAAAAAGGTATTATTTCTAATGAATAAGTCAGGATTCTATCATGTGATTGTCAACATTGTTTCTATTGTATTTTCCAATTAGTGATCCTTCCTCTTTGTTTCTAGCTTTCTCATATCAATCACCAAGTAATTATTAATGCATCTTGATTACATGTTTCATCAGTTTCAGACTAAAGATGTTGGGAGAATTCTTCAGTTTCATCATCATTGACTTTAGTGATTGTTGCATAAATTTGAAGGATAGTCATATTAACTGATCTTCCTTATACGTATATGGATATTATCCTATCACACACACCATAGTATTTATGGATATAACTAAAAATGTTCTTTTGACAATGAATGTGCTGTGGTTCCTCTTTAATTTGTCATTCCTGGCATAGTAAGCTATATGATTTTCCAATTAAAATGACCAATATCAGAGTATTTAAACTCACTAATGCCTGTTGTTGTTGCTGTTATGGGCTGTGGAGTCAGTTTCAACTCATAGTGATCCTGTATGTGGTTTCTGAGGAGCTGCTGGCGGGTTTGAACTACTGACCTTGCAGTTGGCTGTCTGATGTTTATCCTACAATGCCGCACCAAGACTCCCCACTAAAGCCTAGCATATAGATATTTATGCATTCCATCTTATTTTTCACTATTGTTCTACATTCCATGTTCCAATTATTAATGGACATTTGTAGCTGTTTTCTTCTCATTTGAACTGTGCCCCACCAGCAAATGAACGTTCTGGAAACTTTGCTTCCTTCATAACATTAAGGTCCACTTTACTTTGAGGCAGAAACTCTTCCCCAGTCATGTTTTGAGTGCCTTCTGACCTGAGAGTTCTTCCCTCAAAATCTGCATTTCAAACAAGCTCTCACAAATGATTCCTTGTCACTGAAATATGATACCTCTATTGGCATTTTCGCTAATATTCAATTAGGCGAGGTATTATATTTCTCTTGCCTAATTGAATAAAGGTGAGCTGCTTTGTCTTGGCTGGGCTGAATAGACCTGGCTTCTGTTACACAGTGACAGGAAGGAAGTCTGATGTCAAAGCTGTGATCAGCTCTCATTGGAAGTCTGTTTCCTTTCAGAGACCTGCAGAAGACACCCTTCATGAAGCAGCAGAACATGGTAATGATTTACTTCCTATCATTCAAAATCAATATTTATACAAAGAAAATAAGCAAGTACAAGCATTTTAGTATGTGCACTCAGACTCTGTAAAAAACACCACTTAATAGTTTTCCTTGTCTTTAAATATACAAGTAGGCTATTTTTTTTTAAGATGAAATATATATTTACCTGAAACATTGATGTTAGCAACTAAAATTTCCTTGAATTCTGCACTATCTGTCTCACATCATCCACTGATAATCTTCTCCTTAGAACCTCAGAATTAATCTGCAATTTCTTGCTGAAGCCCCTCCTTTTTAATTGTTTCATACTAGTATTACATGCCTATTGCTTAATAATCACTAGCTATCAATTCCAATGTTAAAAAGTATGCATTAGTAATATTAAGATGCTTGGCTGTCTTTTGAATCTTGGTTTCCCTGACATACCATTATAAAATAGACACTTGACGGGGAGAGAAAGAAATAGCCAGAAAGATCACCATAGAAAGCTTGTAAGTCCGTCTTCTGCCTATAACTGATTGGAATACCTAAAATGGGGCTACAACGTGCCCAGTGAAGTAGGCTTCCTGCAGAGACTCTGCATTACATAAGACCATAGGTGGAATCTTGAACAGCATCCAGATTCTTCAGAAGTGGGAAATTTCCACTTGAAAGGACAAGCAGACCAG